CTTACAGCCTTTAGGTCAGGAACATCCTTTATTGAAGACTAGTAGCCTGGGACGCCCCCTAGTGGGCGTTCTTTACAAATTTCCATGAGGCACAGTTCCTTTGACTTTTTTGTTCCTATCAATATGCTCTACAGCTCTGTTAAAATCCGAATGGTAAGATTTACCCTCCGAATGAAGAGGTGGCGAACCCCCAAACCGTACACCCCTGTATTAACAATAAAGTCAAAGGAGCCATAGCCCTACTCGCGACCCTTCGAGAGATATAAGCCCCTAAAATAATAAATTCCTATTACAAATATACTGAATTATTTATATTGTTATATTGACCAAATAATAATTTATTGGCCAAATGAATAANCTGAATCATTTATATTGTTATATTGACCAAATAATAATTTATTGGCCACATGAATAATAAACATTTACTGTATATTGTTAATTTAAATAAGAATTAAAATTGTTAATTTGAATGTTTGAAATATGACACACGATAGGGGCGCCTCTAGTGTCCGTTTTCAAACGGTTACGGGACAGACGGACAGTTGAATGGGTTATATATATAGATACAGGTTAGATATGCATTACGGGCTTATTTTATCTTTAAGCCCCTCTTCAGTGCTATACCAAAAAATTTAGAATAATCAGTAATGTAACAATATCTTTGACCAATAAAATTTCACGTAATGTTTATAATGAAAGGGGAAAAAAATATATAAAACTAGTGTTGATAAATTGAAAACAACAGGTGTTGTATATAAAATTAATTGTAATTGTCAAAACCCAGATTATACAGGTGAAACAGGTAGGACTTTAGAGTTAGGAATTAAGGAACACGAAGCAGCAATAAGGTTAAAATATAATAATTCTCCTTGGTTTGACCATATAAAAATAGTAACTGTCAGATTGACAGAAATAACATTAAAATCCTCCATTCCAAAAAGAAAAAACACTTATAAATGTAAATTTAAAGAACACATCGAAATTATTAAATCTAATAGTAAAAATTTAATCAATATCTCTAACAGAATGCAAATAGATCAGCAATGATACAGTCTGATAGAAGGCGTTATGACAAAAATTACACCATAATGTAAAGTACGATGTATTGTGAATTGTGAAAAAATATTAATGCTGGTATGTATTTTTTGTAATTTTTTAAACAAAAATTTTTTGTAAATAATTTTAGAAGGTTACTATAATTACAGTAACCCTACTGCTGTTTGTGATTAAAAATGTATCTTCGGGAATTTTTAGGAATTGTTTAGAATTTTAATGTAATATGATATACGCCCATTTTAAAAGTAATGAGGAAAAAACTTCCTTGTATTATAAAAATATTTATATGTTAAATTTTATGATTTATTAATGTTTATTAATTAAGGATTTGTGAATAATGTAAAAAAACCCAGAAGTGTCATATTAGTGTGGCAGAAGGATTTGTAAGAAAAAATCATGGAAAACCTTCTTTTTTGGTAGATTAAATAGTTTCTATGTCAAAGGATATAATCTACATGCGTTATATTGTTACATTACTGTTTGTTCTAAATTTTTTGGTATAGCATAGAAGAGGGGGCTTAAAGATAAAATAAGCCCAAAATGCATTTGTAACCTATAAATAGAGACACTATTCTAATCTCAGCACCGGGGTGAAACCTACACTACACTATCCGGAACCTGTCACGCACCGGTTACAGATTCCGGATAGTGTAGTGTAGATGTAACCTGTACCTTCAATAAAAGATGTTCCTGATCTAAAGGCTGTAAAATAGCCTACTGGAATTCTTGTGATTTTTCAGATTAAAGAGACATATATATGTATGAAAATTAGCACTGCAAGTGGCAGTTGTGTTTCCTATTAGGTCAGAACTTTTACATATGTGTGTTCTGGCATAAAAGCATAAAACAGAAACTGAACTGAAAGCTGATTTCTGATTCATTTTTCTGCCATACAATTTTACACATGTGTGTTCCTGGCCTTATTGTGTCATTTATCACTTCACAGGTGAAAGTGAGAGTGCAAAAATTTAGTTTGGAACTATCTTTAAGGTATAGAAAAATAATACATACATTATTACATGTATTGGATTATTATGTTGTACTTATAAACATATATGCAATGTAGTGAAAATAAAATTGCATTTTAAAGATATATTGTAATTTTAAAACCAAATTTCAAATGCAGAAAAATATATTTATAATCATGTTTTCTGTTGTTTCACAATAATGCAGAAGTATGTTTAGTTCTATCAACTCTTATAAAATTCTATTTACTTATTACATTGAATAACTATAAATTTGTTGAACAATCAATATTCATATATTTAAATTAATACTATTAACTGGAAACAGTCCAAATATATCAATCTGATTGTTCATCTAAATATATAAAATTACTTGTCCTGACTGACTGACTGACTGATTCATCATTGCCCAGAGAAACTGCTGAACCTAAAGAGGTGAAATTTGGTACACAATTAGGGTACGTCATAAAAACGCTCACTAAGAAGGGATTTTTCGAAATTCTCCCACAGGGGAGAGGGAGAAGATTAAGTCTTAACTGAAAGAACAGCTTCTACTGTACTATTTTAGATGTGATATTTTGTTTTTATCTGCGTTTTAGTAGGGTATGCCATGGAAATGCACACTAAGAAGGGATTTTTCGAAATTCCCCTGCGGGGGGAGAGGAAGAGGATTAAGGCTTAACCGGAAGAATGGCTTCTACTGTACTATTTTAGATGCGCTTTTTCGTTTTCAACTACGTTTAATTTTCATTGAGTACAGTAGAACCTCCATTATCCGGATTTTCGATTATCCGGATTGTTCGAAATAAACAAAAATTTTACGAATTTTCTGATTTGCACTTGGCGAATTACGACACTGTTTATGTACGTGATGGAATGCATAACTTTTTTTGTTTCA